CGGATCGTTAACCTTCTCTGGCTTGATGTCACGCATCACACAGACCGCCTCCATGACTAACTTCACACCCGGCGGTGGATTGGCCATGGACTTGACGATGGTGATGTCCGCCGGTTTAAGCGTATCCAGAGCAGCGAGGGCGGACTCGAGAGCAGGCTGCGCCTCAGCGAGATCAGCTCGACACTCCTCACTGAGGGCTTTGGAGGCATCAGCCTTCATATTGACCACCTCCTCCTCTGCCTTCGCTTTGGTTCGCTGTTCTTCGGCGGCAGCAGATTCTGTTGCAATCACCACCAATAACTTGTCGTTCTCTTCACCGGCAACCAACAGCTGGGGCTGAAGCTGTTCTAGTTGTATTTGCATATCAGCGACCTGCGTGGCTGCAAATGCCAGTTTGTCCAGACCATTCACGTAGCTGTCACAAGGAGAGGTTAAAATGGAACATTGAAATAGAGCATACTGTATGGGCATTAGCAGAAATGGTTTGGCACAAATTTGGCGTATGCAGTTTTTCAGTTTTCTCGTAGCGCAGGTTAAATAGGTAAAGTGGCCAGACTGAGTTTTTTTTATGTTAGCCGTGGGGAAAGTTACGCGGCTACTCTGCCACAATTGACATGGAAATTTGGATTGAACTTAAAATTACTGTCCAGGCGGCCTCATCCCATGTTCCCTCAAGGAGCTCTGGCAAAATGATAGTTATTTTCACTAATTGGACCACATGATAAACTGTGGAGGACGCAGTGGGTAATTGAAGTTTTGCACGCGGTTTCGTCATAGTGTAATTCCTATCGTTGGCCTTCTACTCTGGTGCGATTCATAACATAATAGGTATTTGCCGAAAATCAGAATCCGATTTAAAACACATAGCCTTTAATGCGAAAATTAAATCCGAACTAAATAACAACAATTAGGTAACAAATAATTCTTTATTATGGCGTAGAAAGGGGTCTTCGTTTCCTTCGAAAGCATGCCAGCCTCTTAATTAAATGCTTTAGTACTCTAAAAAATTTCTTTAAAGTCTGAATCATGCTGTATAACGACTTCTTCTCGATCTCAGAAGAAGAGCATGCGATTACTGGAACAAGAGTTTTATTTTCCTGACGTTTCTGATTCCGTCGGGAATCCTTAATCATAGGTGATGGTAGCATAGTCATAGTCATGCACAGATACGGTTGAAACATGCATAGGTTGCACGATATTTATAGTTCATAGTGGTCATCCGCGTGCGTGCGATAAGTATTTACTTCTGTAACCACCGCGAGTATACATAAGCTGTCGATAATATCTCATTGGGCCATTACATTTATATGGGAACGGCTCAAATATAAAACATGCGGTCAATTATGTTCGTCATTGCAGACCGAGGTGAATATGCGAGTTCCAGGAAGCAGTTCAGAAGAAGATGCGACCACTGGAACAAGAGTTTTCTTTTTCTGAATTTTCGGATTCCGTTGGGAATCCTTAATCATAGGTAACGATAAAATAGTCCGAGTCATGCGCAGATAGAGGTGAAACATGCACAGCTTGCACGGTATTTATAGTTCGTAGCGGCCATCTGCGTGCGTACTGTAATTACCCACTCCTGTAGCCACCGCTTGGGCGTTAATTGGTGCGGTGATGGCTTGACACTTCACGTTCGACTCATTAATTGCCGCGATTTCCTTGTCCGTGTTGGACGCGGGTTTGGTAATTGCGCGACAATTATGCTCGTTGTCGTCAGAGTTGTTGTTGCTGGGCCCGGCCATTCCCATATGACTGAGTCCATTTCTCAGGTAATGTCTCAGTACGCAATATGGGAACGCCGAATCGTTGCGCCTGTTGATGGACTGGGAGCCTGAAAACCATGACCCGAGCAGCTCGCGGCTCACGCGGTTGTCACCTTTTGCGAGGATTTCAGCCGCATCAAACTTGAAAATATGTCTGGGTCCCATCGAGTGAGCTGCAACCTGAGAGTTGGCGTCTTTCTTCCTCACTGCCGCTACATGCTCGGCCATGCACGTCCGGAGTAAGCTCCCGGTTTCTCCGACGTAGTTGCTTTGTCCACAACTGCACCAGATCCGGTAAACGACTCCAGCCGTTTCCACCATGGCAGTTGGTCTTTCGGTCTTATGACCCGGCACCTGATGGTTGCTTCTGGCCTGTGCGCAACTCCAACTCCAA